TCTCTCTAATGGTCAAGCCAAGGGGTCATATTATAAAATAATTCTTCATATCAAATCACTAACACACTAGAACATCAGCTGCACGAGGGCAGCTGCTTTTGTTCACTGCTGTATCCTCAGTTCCTAGAACAGCATGTGGCCTATACTAGGTGCTCAATAAATACATGTTGAATGGCTACAGAGCTGAGGAGCACTCTGTTGCCTTATTTGCCATTCAAGAAAGGAGGTTTAAAAAAATGTTCCCATTTTATAGATGAGGAAACTGAGGCTGAGGGAGATGACATATTCTAAGACCACACAGAAGTAATTGATGCGGGGTGGGGTGGGGAATCTGCAGGCATTTGTGGTCAGGCCTGTCTGACTCTCAGTTCAATGCTCTTCTCTCTGCACACTTCACAGCCACTCCCCACCGCCGGCACTCAGCACTCTATCGTGGTCTTGTGCTCAGGCTTAATCATAGAAATACTGCTAATAATAGTAACAATTGCTGTTTGTAATTGTTCAAGTAAGGCTTAAATGATCAAGACCAGGGAAATTATTAATAACCCAGGCCCAGCCATGGTGGTGTGGGTCATATTAAATCGTGTTGAGATGGATAACCTTGGCAATAATAGTAACCGGGATCATAAATTAATAACAGGAGGATTTAAATTAATGCCGTACTGTTGATACCTTGGTAGTAAGCAATGCAGTGCTGCTGTTAGTACTAATGTTGCCCCTTCCTGCCTTCCATGAATTCAGCTGAGAGGAAAGGCAGGGCCATAAAAGCAGCAGGAGGAGACAGCTTAGAGGTGATCCCTGTCTGGGAGAAGGGAGTCCTCAAGGATTTCCGAAGAGGGGCTAGCTGCCTGGCCTCTTACGCCCAGCCGTGGAGATGGTGGCTCAGCCACTTTCATGCTCAAGGCCACAAGGTCTACCTGTCTTTTCTGGGGATGTTCCCTGGACTTTGTTGGTTATACAGGAAAGAAATTCACAGTGTAGATTTTCTCCCCTCATGAATGAATGAATTAGCTTCAGCTGATCTGGGAAATCACCTACCAGCATGGAACATGCCCTCTTCATAAGTGCTCTTCATCTCCCCCTTCTTCCTATAATGTGGGAGGGTACTATTATTTTTTTTTCAAAGTCTAAACTGAGGTCCACACCTGGCCAAGATCAGGGTGATGGGATGGGCTTGTCCTCCACAGCTCTGTGCTCCAGGGCCTTCATGTCTGGGAACCAGGGACAGGTTGGGGTGGGGGACTCATGCAGGTTGGGGTGGGAGTGCTTCCCACCAAAAGACCGATGGCACACTCCCTGGATTACCAGGGCCTATGATTTAGACCTGCTAGAGTTCCTGGGGCACGGTGACGGTGGTCCTGGGGATGCCTACTAGAACATGGATGGGTATGTGGATGTGAGTGCATCCAACCAATTTTCCGTTTATTCCCATCTACAGACCTTTACTGAACCCCTCCTGTGTACCAGGCATTCAGATAAGAAACCGCAGTCCCTGCCTGCAGGGAGCTCATCAGCTAATGGAAACACAATCCAATGAAGGCAAACTGTTGAGGATATATCTATGCTTTTGTGCATGGGTGGGGGTGTTCATGAATGTGTGGGCACTTATGTGAGAGACTATACAAGTGAGGGCTTGTGTGGAGGTGACTGTACACATACACACGTGTGAATGAGTAGGTGAGTACATGTGTTTGAAACCTACCACCACGTGGGCCATGAGTGTGCATGTGGACATGAGTGTGGAGGTGCACACACACGTGTAGAATGTGCAGGACTACAGGCCTGCATGAGGATGCTGTGAGTGCATAAGCACATATATACACGAGTGTATATGTGAGTGTGTGTATTCCTCTGTGTGTGTGTGCATACCTGTGACCCTTTCAAACCCACCTTTTGAGAATTCAGATGATGTCGGGATGGACTCCACGTTGAACGTCCCCGCTGCTGCCTGCCTCCCCTTCCCCTCGGTCCCTGCGCAGAGACTCCCTCTCTGGCAAGGGGCAGAGGGAGGAATGGGGTACAGACCAGGAGATGAAAGGCAGAGAGGGCAGTGGGCTTTATTGCTGATAACGGCTGGGTAGGGAGCAGGGCACCGGGGAAGAAGCCGAAGCCAGAGGCAAGGGAAGATGGGTTAGAGTGAACCCTGCGGGGGGCCGCAGCCCAAGGGAGCCCCAGGCCCCGAGCCCACAGCATCCGGGACAGATGCGCAGTAGCGCGGGCCGGGTACCGGGGCGGGTAGGGTAGAGTCTGTGAGGGCCGGGATGCGGAGAAGCGGCAGCGGGACGCTGGGGCGCGGCTCCCCCCACACGCCCTCCCTTTCCTTCTCCCCCCCTCCCGGAGGTGGCCGGGCGGGCGGGCGCGGTTCC